GTCGTTCGTCGACGTTTGAGCCCAATGTCGCCGGAACGGAGCGAAAGTGATCGTTCTAATTATTCTAATTTCGGTTTGAAATTGGTATGCAGTCGCGCTGCGATCAAGGGAGAAATCGTAGCGCGCAAACGCGGCTCTCGTGGGCGGGATTCTGTCGTTTCTATGGCTCTGATCTTCGTGGTGCGGTGGGAGATGCGATTCTCTGGCACGGAAAGTGTCGGAAGAGTTACTGGAAAACGTGCAAAGGAAGAAAAGACGGTGTCGCGTATTTTCCACGCGAGACGAGTCGCGTAGATGGACAGTGGGAAAGCTCTGGACCTGTCATCGAGTTACAATGTCGCCCGACGCGTCGAAGAAACTAAATGAATTTCCTGTCGCACGTTAGTATCGCGATCTTGATCTCCGGCTGGATATATCCAGTCGACGGGTCAATTATCATATTAATAGTCGGAATGTCGTATTCCGACCGGTGCAACTTATTGGATCGAATATTTTCAACGCGCGTGGGCGTAGTCTGGCGCGGAGTCGTCGCGATCGAGTAACCGATTAATGAGTCCGTTCTAGATCGCGCGTTGATCTTTGGGTGCTATCGTTATCAACCGTTCATCTTAAAATTGGACGATTTTCATTTTTTGGTTATCGACCATTAAATTAACCGCCTTTGAACGCGTAACGATGCGAATTTCATTTATAATTTGTGTCGTCTAAAATGATAAAAATATAGAATCACCATGTGGATTATAAGATGGAGACAAAAAATCTGGCTCCATCGGAACGCGGTGGAAGTTCACGATCGAGAAAAGTAAAAAGGCAGCGGTGGAAAAGCGGCGCCATATTAGAGTCGACCTGTTTCGAAACGAGCGCCTTGGGAATCGACGCCTAAGGAGCTCCTCGTGCCTTAATGAGAGCCCGTTCCTCGGCTTTTTCTCCTTTTTCCGTCGGCGTCGCGACGTTTGCCAACTTCCCCGACGAAATTTACGAGGGCACGCGTGCCACGTTCAACGACCGCGATCATACGCGCCGCGATTTATGGATCGCGATTGTTCCGCGGCTGGTTTTATAAATTCGAGGCGCACGGTTGCGATAGAAACGTTGCTCGATCGACGACGCGTGCTTTTGGAGAGGAAAAACCAAGCTACTAATTATCACGAATCTACATAATCCACAGAGACTCTTCGTGCTTCCGAAATCACTCGTGCTATCGAAAGTTGTTTTCCATTTTCAGAAACGTCGTCCAGCGTGTTTCGCGCTCGATTTTCTAAAACTCTCCGACGCGAAACATAGACAGATCGCTCGGTCGAGTCGAACAAAGGCTCGAAACGTTCGCAACGACGCGATAAACTCGCGAGGTGAAGCGGTGAAGATCGTCCGATGATCGCCGCCATTAATTCAGCTGTATTTTGCATCGCCGACGGACAGAATCACCGGGTCGACGGAATTGTTTTAAAGATAACGACGCGAGAGTCTCGTTACTTAGCGGAGAGAAAGGATGGAAAGGAACTAGAAGGGAAAAAGTTCGGAGAAGTGGCGCGGAATTGAACGAAAAAGACTACCGGCCGCGATGGAGGAAGAGAGAGCCAGCGCGATGATAAATATCCCTTAGTATGGAAGTTTTTACTGCGTATGGAGTGCGAAGCGCCTCTTCTGCTCGTTTCTTTTTTCATCGCGGCTATTTTTTCGGTCCGCGATGTTCCTCGTTAAGTCTTCTTTCGCCGTAGCGAGACACGACCGGTCATTTATAGCTTCTACGATCCTTTTATCAGCCAAAAAACGGACGACGTTTATTCCGTTGCAAAGAGTTTTCTGTCCTTGTTGTCCCGAATTCGAACGAATCTCGCTAGACTTGTTTACTTTCCATCGGTGAATCGCTAGAATGCGGTAGATCCAATTACAGGCGGGGCATCGCTGCATTCGATTAATTGCATGACGCTGCAGCTGCTCATCTCGTCCACGCTTTACCCCCCTCAGTCCTCTCGTTGCTCGTAATACATATTACGGTTTCATGCTCCTAAATTTAGACAAGTTTCCGCAACGCCGTTCATCTTCTCGTTCGCCGGCGCAATCGCGTCAACCGAGACTGCACCAGCGATCCTCGTTGATTCGAGCTAAACGAAATCGTTGATCGCGATAGAGCTCTTTGTGCTGCTCCGTTCCTCTGTCGAGGGAAATTGATCGACACAATGCGAGGGACTATCGTTCGACGAAACTTCAGAAATTATCGTCGTTTCATCGTACTTAATATTTGTGTCGTTTTCTTCTTAGACGGTTCATAATTTCGAGACGCAACTTCTTGGTTTTGGAGCGACTAAGTCGCATCGAGTGATCGTAGGGTTTGAAAAAAGTTTTCTTAAAGTTAACGACAGATTTGCCTGTTAATTCCGGAATATGGAACATGGCGGTGACTCCTAACAAAATAAATTTTCAAATAATTACATTGACGTATATTAAATAATTATTAACAGGTTGACATGCCATCCATATACGCATTTATCACCATGGAAGTGATAAAAAAATGAATGAATTCTCAAGTTGAGATGTTGTGCCCTTCATTTAAAGACTGTGAACTGTTTTTCTGTGAATAAGATACTATATAACATGCTATATATCAATCTAGTCCAAGTTATAGCGGAATATAGTAGCTATAAATGATACAGATAGAGCAACTATCTAGAGGTCGTGAATTGTTTTGCTATAAAATATAAAAACTATAATTATCATCGTTTCATCGTACTTAACATTTCTGTCATTAGCTTCTTAGAGGGTTGATAATTTCGAGTCGCTTTTGGTTTTGGAGTGACCAATGGGGTAGATAAAAATATTTGCGATCTTTGGATCGAGTGATGGTAGATTCACTTTGAAAAAAGTTTTGTTGTAGTTAACGACAGATTTGCCTGTTAATTCCGGAATACGGAACGTGGGGGGCGACTCGTAGCTCAAATTATTGCCCATAATTCAACCGAGTGGCGGGGGCAGAAGGGGCGAGGGTGGAGTTTGGCAAAACATTCTCTCGTTATCAGCGTATGCCGCGGAGTTGGAGCAACGCTGGCAAGAACCACGCGATATATCGATCGTATGCTTCGTTCGACTTCACCGACGTAAGCAGGTTTACGCGCGCTTCCCGACGCCCAACGCCCAACACCCGACGCTGATACCCTGTGAACCGTAAATTCGCGTCAGTCGAGCCGTGAATGTTCGAAACGTTCCTCCGGTTGTCGTCTTCCATCTGCTTTGTTCTTTCTTGGCCCTCGATCGCGTAGATCGTAGGATCATATACGGGGAAAATAGTTTTGGTCGTGTACGTTGTCAACTACCGTATTGCAATTGCAGAGATTAAAATAATATACGAGAATTTTATCGATGGAACGGAACTATTTCGAGCCTTTTCAAATAACAAGGCTAGATTTTCTTTCATCACAGCAGGTGCTCGAAGTATGTTGCGTCCATTTCGATGCATGCCTCGACACGTTTTCTCATTGAAGTTCGCACACGCTCAAGAATGCCAGGTTTTTCCCTTATTTCTCGCCGAGAGAAACTGGCATAGCAATCGCTACCAAAGAGGAGGCAATTGCCTTATAATACGCGGCTAGTAATTTGTGATCCAGCGGATCTAAGCCAGAGCGGCGCACGGGAGTCTCGTAAAACAAAATTAATGATAAAAGAAAAATCTGTGCAACGAACATGGAAAATGGGCGATTGATATCCGTATATTGGAACGCAATTAGGCGAAAATGCATATTGGGAATGAATTTCTGTCGTTTAAAAGTGTTCGAGGAATGAATCCGTGAACGCGTGGGATAAAAAAAAGCGGAGATAGGCAGGTCGGAACGACGTTAAAATCGCTAATGAAGAAGTAATTACACCGTGTAATATGGCAGACAGAGGCGGAGTCTGGTCGCGTACAAGGCAATTCAAAGGTGAACGATTTCCTGGTAAAGGGGGAGGGGATGAGGAAAAACACCAATAATAGCTCGTGTCAAGCGAGCGGGCCTCGTACTTAATTAAGATGTCTCTAGCAATTAGGTGCTTTTACGATCGGCATAAAACCCGATCATTCCGTGCACGCACGAATCAGGTTCTTCCTTTCAACGGAACGATCGTTGTTACGAGATCTTGCGCTCTCCATTTTTAGCGTGCAGATACTCGTCGCGATGGAGCGACCATTCCTAGCCCCATTCTAGTACGACGATCCCATCTGGTTCTAATGGTTATCGCCGATAACATGAAACGCCATGCAGTTTATGATATCACGGAAAATATTGGACATTTTTTGGCCAAGTGGAATGGTCTGGAATACATTGGTATGATTACGACGGGAAAGTTGAGAATTGCGTCTCCATCTTTAGCGTTTCCGGAGGCAAACTGGTTTAAAAGGATTCGATGGTACTTTGAGTATTAGATTTATTTCGGTTGGATTGAGTGTTTAATCGGTAATGTGTGTTAGAGTCTCTTCAAGTAGCCTTGGTGTTATTGGTTTAAACCTTAAGTAGATTCTCAATCTCAATTGAATTATTTTGTGTAATGTTGATTTTTACCAAATTGGTTAATGGAAATAAATTCTTTTTTAATTCATTTAAAAAATAATAAAGATTAAAGACCCTTTAACAGGTTGCTATGTCATATATCACAGCATTTATCACTATGGTAGTGGAAAAATGAATTCTCAAGTTGAAATGTGCCCTTCATTTAAAGACTGTGAAATATAGAAACTATAACGGAGCTTCCACAATATACTATAGTATGTCTACATTCTACTATAACTAGTATTATAAGATACTATATAACGTGCATTATAACAATCCATTTCAAGTTATAGCTGAATGTAGCAGCTGTAAAGGATAAAAATAGATCAATTATCATATATAGCATTTCATTTAGAGATCGTGAACTGTTTTGCTATAAGATATAGAAATCATCAATTCGGAATAGCCATGAACGCGGCTGATTGTGAGCGTGCGAGGGAAATAGAATGGCCTAACCGGTGTCTGTGTCCGTTTTTGCAGCAAGGATGTCGAGCAGCGGCGTGACGAGCGGTCCTGTGAGCCAGGTCTGTCGGCCGCACTTTCACAGTTCGGTGCTGCACCCGTGGCTCTCGGGCAGCGGGGCGGACACGTCGAAGACGCCCTGGGGATTCCCGACGTCGACGGGCTCCGGTGGCGCGGTCAGCGAGGACAAACCGCAGAGTCCGCTCGGTTCGTCGCTGCCGCCGACCACCGGGAGCCTGTCGGGTCACGGCGGAGCCGGTACCAGTCACCATCTCTTCTCCTTCCCGCCGACGCCGCCGAAGGACGCGACACCGGACAGCATCACCGCCAGCACCACGTCCAGTACGAATAACAACAACAACAGCAGCGCCAACAACAACAACAACAACACCAGCAATCCTCTGTCCGGTCTAGGAGCCGGTGCGAGCAGCGAGTACCAAGCGGCGGTTGCCCACGCAGCGGTGATGGGAGCCTTCATGCACCATCAGGACGCCCTGGGTGCATCCGGTGCTAGTTCCTGCGACGTGAAGCCCAGCGTGATGCTGGGTCATCATCACGGCGCCCCGTCCCCGCCCCATCAGCAGCACAACGGGACGACGAATCCGGGGAACGGAGGGAACGGGAACGGAGGGAACGGGACCGGTCAGGTGAAACAGCGCGAAGGTAATAACCAATCGGGCAGCGTGTCCGGCAGCCAACAGGCGAGCACCACGCAACAGCAACAACAGCAGCAGCAACAACAACAGCAACAAGAGGCCGCGTATCAGGGGAACAGCGTGGCGGGCGGCGGCGGGGGCGGTGGCGGTGGTGCGAGCTCACCGTCGTGCAGGGACAGTTACGCGGCCGCTGCCGCCGCCGCCGCAGCCGCGGCCGCGGCTGCCTCGAACACCCACCATGCCACTTCCGGATCCCAGTACGACCCGGCAACCAGCGCGTATAACATGTACCAGCACCTGCAGTATCCTAGTACCAACCACCACCATCACCATCACCATCATCACGGCGCCTCCTCGTCGTCTTCTTCGTCTTCGTCCCACAATCCGCACAACGGGACCGCCGCGGTTTCCGGTATATTCGGGCATCACGCCGGTGCCGCGGCAGGAAACGCGACCGGCGTGGCCGGCGTTAACGTCGATTCGAAGTTGTTGGTCGGTCACGCGCACGCAAACACGCCGAGCTCGCCGTCCGCGCAGCAGCAGCAGCAGCAAAAGCCCAGGAACAAGTCGAGGACGTCCGCCGGTAAGCGGCACGCCTACCAAACTCCCTTATTCGGTTTATTTCCTATCCCGTTTTTTGTTTTTATCCTTTGGTCTTACCCTTTCGTTTCTTTATTTTCTTTCTTTCTACCTTTCTCTCTCTCTCTTTCTCGAGTGCTACGGGAATTCTGGGGAATTTTTTCTTTATCGGTTTTGGGCATTTTCTTCCTTTCCACTCTTCTCACGCTCTGGAGTCTCACGGGAATTCCGGGGAATTTTTTCTTTACTGGTTTTGGGCATTTTCTTTCTTTCTACTCTTCACTCGTTCCTGAGTGCTACGGGAATTCTGGGGAATCTTTTCTTCACCGATTTCGGGCATTTTCTTTTTACCCTTTTCGCTGTTGAGTGCTAGGGGAATTCTGGGGATTTTTTTTACTTTTTCTGAGAATAAAATTTTTTATGGCACTCGAGGAGGGTGTGGTCAAGAAGGGCGCAGTCGATATTATTAAATAACTATCGAAGAACAAGTAGCCTTGTCTCTACAGAATTTTCGCAGTAGAATAGTTCGTGCCAGGTCAGACAATACTTCCGCGCCCGTGTTCACTGTCAATCGATTCCCCCTCAAGTTTCCACGTGAACTTTAGAATTCACTATTTTTATAAAGTTTATCACCAAATCGACTGCACCCTTGGGTATTATTTTCTTACCTTTTATTTGTTATCAGTTTCGTGTTTTTGTTGCTTTAAGTTTCCTTTAATTTCGCTTGTATGCACGAGTTCTGGTGTACGCAATTTCTCCCAAAAAAATATGAAAATCATTTTCCCAGATATTTGAGTGTCTTTTGCCGTGAAAAATTGCACCCATAGTGCACCAGGGCTTTATTGCATTTTGCTTTCAGTTACAGTTTCCTCGGTTTGCTTTCTTTGTTTCTTCTGTTGATTAAATATATTTTCGGTACTTGAATTTTGTTTCATTCGCGTTCCACGAACCGATCGACATTTATCAGGAACGATCCTCGAGGAAATACTGTTTCGAACGAAATATATTTTTCTGAACGTTCGTTGGATATCGATAGGCTCGGAGAACGATTCGAAGGAATCAAAGGTTCCGGTCTCACGTTTTTCTCCAAAGATTTTCGTTTCAATCCCTGACGAGCTTTTGGTGGCGGTCGTCTTTCGCTTACAGTCCGTTGATCGGAACGTTGAAGAACACACACGTATATACATATATTTATATATATATTTTTTCTTTTTTCCTCGAAACTCGAGCTGAGTGTTGCTGACGAGAGGGAGACACACACCGATCGTGTATTTTTGTATTTTTGCCTCACTGACATGCGTTTTTTGAGTGGCACCCGCGAGAGGTCGAGCGTGAACAGCACCACACCTGATTGATTTTTACGACGAAACGTCGATGTGCAGAGTGGGACACCTGAAATAGGAACTCCATAATGTCCCTCGTACTCTTAAGCAACCGGAATATTTTGTCAGAGACTCGAAACATCAGCCATTTCGATGAAAACAATTTTATTTTCATCAGACGTTCCAAATCTGTAGCCTCCATTAAGAGATTTCCACTAATACTATTCACACATCAACTATTATACACGGACTCTAACTTAATTTCTTAAAGAATGAAGAATCTCCGGAATGTTTAAGGATCAAAATTTTTACAAATCATGTTAGAAATTTGGTAAAAATGTTTGCTCGATTTTAGTCCTGACAAGATCTTTCACGGCTGGAAAAGTCTCAGAGACGTTCGGGGGTCCTCTTTCCGGTGACTTAATCCTGCATCACTTGTATTTATATATCTTGCTGTCTGTATAGATATACGTACGTTTTATAAATACACCAGGTGTTAATCACATATCCACACAAGCCGCGAAAGAGCACACACGTATTTTTTTTCTCGATGTGGTGTGGCTACATGCTGACGTTTTTTGGTTTTGTCACAGCAAGAGAAATCTCCCTCTCGAGATGAGTCTGCGGACCGACGATTTTTTCCGTGCGATTTTCTTCGCGCGTGAAAGCATTTCGTCGGGGCGATAGGTGAAATTTCGAACCGATTTTTTCACCGATTCGATAAAATTCGAATCACTGGTGCAAACCACGTCGTAAAACAGAAAATGTAGGTCGATCGAAGAGGGGGAGGGAATTGATATTAAAACGAAGACGAAAAGCGGGGTAAAGGAGAGGCAAGAATGGGAATGAAACGGTTGAAAAATGCCGGATACGTTGATTGCGGTAATAATAGTCGGTCTGCGGCAAGGACGGCGTGGTAAAAATCCTAATTCCGGGAACAATGGCCCGACTTCGCGGCGTGGAAGTCCGCTAATTAAATCGACTTACGACACACACACGTACACACATATACACACATTGTGTGCGCTAGCCTCGATGACGGTGAAGCCAGACGATTCCGTGGATATATCAGCCTCTTTAAGGTTGCCTGTTAGACGCGATAGAAGGAAAATACGATTTTCCGCGAAATTAAAACTCTCCTAAGAACTATAATCCTCGAGCAATCCGTATTAATCCATCAAAGTAAATGAAATATCGATTCTGTTAAATTAACTATTTGACGAGCTCGGTAAACATTGCGTTCCGTAAGGAACGTCTAAACTATCTAGGAACGAAGTGGAAATCTTAATTAATCACCGTCGTTGCATAGCTTTCCTTCCGACGTTTCGCGGTTTTTAATTCAACTACCAGCCGAAGTAATTGCAAACCACGGTTCATGATATAGTCACCCTTTTTTCTTTAGAGCTCGGTTTTTCTAGAGGAACGCTAGAGCTGGACGGAAACCCGAAAATGTCAGGAACCCAAGAAAGATTTCGAAGCCTCCACGTTTTGGAAGAAAAGTCGATAGTGGCTGGTTTTGGTGGAAATATTAATTAATCTCAGCCGTTGCATAGCTTTCCTTCCGACGTTTCGCGGTTTTTAATTCAACTACCAGCCGAAGTAATTGCAAACCACGGTTCGTGATATAGTCACCCTTTTTTCTTTAGAGCTCGGGTTTTCTAGAGGAACGCTAGAGCTGGACGGAAACCCGAAAATGTCAGGAACCCAAGAAAGATTTCGAAGCCTCCACGTTTTGGAAGAAAAGTCGATAGTGGCTGGTTTTGGTGGAAATATTAATTAATCTCAGCCGTTGCATAGCTTTCCTTCCGACGTTTCGCGGTTTTTAATTCAATTACTAGTCGAAGTAATTGCAAACCACGGTTCGTGATATAGTTTCTTCTTTAGAGCACGGTTTTTTTCCAGAGGGACGTTAGAGTTGGACGAAAACCGGAAAATCGATAGTGGCTGGTTTTATTGAAACGTCGGGAGGCGATTCTGAAAGAGGGAATTCGTATGGCGGGCAGAATTCGTGACGGAACGATGGCCTCTTTGTGCCCGGATCATAATTCACCCGTTTATGGCAAAAACGGCACGAGACGCGGCTGGCTTGATCGGACTCGTTCTTTCGCGTTTCCTTCGAAATTCCACCCGGCTCTGAACGTTTTGTAAATCTCGTCCCGGCTCTCATGAGCAGCCTGTGTTTTTCTGTAATAGCAGATTTTATGCATTTATTTATGAGAAACGCATGCAAAACGTATGCGGAATACATTAGACGTTAGTAATGGGACTGGTACGATTAAATATCGATAACGCTCTGGTAATTCGATACCAACCGTGCTTTGATATCAATTTTCTAAGAAGGAATTGTCAACGATGTGTTTGCACCAGTGATTTAAGAACTCCGATTTTCAATTAATTATTATCGATTCGGTCTTTCGAACGATACTAAGCGACATTGAAAATTACAGGATTACTAGGAATTATTAGAAGCGTATTTTCTTTTCTTTATCAAAGTTTATTTTTGGCCACGTCGATCGCGTTCGACAAATGATCTCGTTTCTCCGGGTCACGTTTCGAAATGTCTGGAAGAAATTTTACATAGAGATTTTTTCCAGTAATAGCCAACGTTCGGTTAAATCCCGAGGAGGATGCAGCTCGAAGGACGATTCGAGAGACGCGGAATTCACGGCTCGGGAAATATTCTTATCCTTCGACGACTCCTTTTACCCTCCGTTTCCAAAATTTTCAGACTGATTTTAAACAAACAATAAAACAAGAATTATTTACACATTAAAACACGATTGATATTTAATTTTTGTGTCTTCGTTAACTCGTCCACGAGAACCGTAAGTAAGTAAGTAAAATTAAAAATCCAAAGGTACGATTACGGAGGTTAAGAACAAGGAACAAAAATAAATCGTTTCGTTTTTACATATCGATTAAAAAAAATATTTGTTTAAAGTGATCAAAGTCTGGAAGTTTGGGCCCTATCCTCTCTCCTTATGCTGTCTGGTGGGGGGTAGACTAACGATGCAGGTCTTCTCTTTTCCCTTCTTCTCCGATTCAGTCTGAAAAGTTGTCCTTGCTATTAACAAGCCGCTATCGGACGATCGTGTTCGATCCACGAGTCCTTCGAACGCCCACGGTCCTAAAGAGACTCTGCTTTTGCTCTGGTAATCGCTTGATATGGTATGTCTGCAACTGCATGCGAGTTTCATCACCGAATTTGTAAATTGTACCTTTGTGTCGAGCACACTGGCTCTTCGAAATTGGCTCTCTTCATCCTTCGACGATCGATCTTTCGTCCGTTTGCAAACTCTCTGCCCGTTACAAACGAGAATATATCAAAGATTCGGAGGTCCGCGAGCTTCCGATTCCAAATTTTCGAAAAGCCAATGTGTGGGTGCTTTCAGACCACGCCCGTGACAGCATCAGCCAGACCGAATTCTCGATAAGAAAATATTCGTAGATCGATATAAGCGAATCCGAATCGGTTCGCCCGCGCGTAGAATTCAGTCTGGCGTTATCACGAGCAATAAACGTGTAGCTTCTCCATACACGCTCGTGGCTCTACGATCCACTAATTACAATCGTTGTTTTCCTTCGGTGCAATTCCAATAGAGGGTCGCGAGTGCGTGAATTGCGGCGCGACGTCGACGCCGCTCTGGAGACGAGACGGCACCGGACACTACCTCTGCAACGCTTGCGGGCTTTATTACAAGATGAACGGCCAGAATCGACCCCTCATCAAACCGAAACGACGGCTGGTAAGTACCTAAGCTGAATCATTTCACCGTCGAATGATATTCCCCGGTATCCGCGACTATTTCAACGAGAAGGATCGAAGACAGTCGTTAGAGGAACGAGCCTCGTCCAAGGTACGCAAACTGGTCTCCGGCTTCGAGCACTTGGGACCATTTTTACGCGCCATCGGGAGGATGTGTCAGGTTATTACGGAGGCGCCTGTTGCTAGGCGATCGGACGCAAACTGCAATCCTCGTCTGTACTATTCAGAGGCGAAGTGATGGCTACTATGTAGGATCCACCTAATCCCCTCCACTTCTTAGGTGCTTGGTTATTATTGGATAAGTCGATCAAGAACTAAGGTCGAACCGAGAATCTAAACAGTGGAAGGAATTTGATGGTGTGCCAACATCTCATCTTTCAATAGCACGTGATTAGGTGTAACGATATCTACGATATTTCGAGGCTTTGGGCGCCCCAGACTGATAAACCTAACGCATCTGGACTTTTATTTTAGTACCAGTGATAACTTTAGCTACCTTTGAGATTACAGGACTCAGACTAGGTCCATTTTATTTTTTTGCAACGCAGATAAGATGCAGCTTGCATTTTCGAGCGCCAAAGGTCTATTCCTTGTGATCGAACGTGTTTCGTGCGGCCGAGTTTCGAGTCCCGAGTCGAGAATTTTATCGATATCCAATTGGTGTTTCCGGGTCGACGGGACGATTCGCAGAAAAGCGCCGGTGCACCTGGCCGTCTCGTAAAAGTGCGTGTCCTTGATCGTTTCCTTCGCGGCATACCGAGTCGCACATAATTAATACGCGCGCGCGCGGAACAGCGGAGCGTTATACGTTTCTTACGATACGCAGATGCAGTCATCAGAATGCATGATAAAACAAGGCTAAGTTAATTTCCTGTACACGACGATTAATATATACGGTCCCTCTTCCCTCCGATCGGTGGACAACGCCTGGCCGCGTCTGTTATGGCCTGTAAAAGGCACAGGAAGACTCGTCGGGAGCTCCGTCGTGACGATAGGGATTCGCTGTGTCACGTTCGCTGGCAAAAGGTTTGCAGTTCGACTGCTCGGGTTTATGTATAGAACCACGCCAATAGCTACTATTTTATAGGCTGCAGAATGACAGAATCAGTTTTAACTTGTATCGTGAACTATTTTCTGACGTATCCTGCTATATTACTATAACATGTACTATAAGATACTGTATTGCTATAATGTGCAGTCTTATAGCTACATGGCTTCTATTCTACTATAACAAGTACTATACACAAGGGAAACATTTTAATGGGAGATTCTAGAGGTCAAAATAAGACGAAAATCAAGGATACTAATTTGTTGATTGAGGCTTCGTTAAAAAGTTATAGAAACATTTCCGGCTACACAGTATATTTTTGATAAAGAATTTTTTTTCTCGAAAGTACGTAGGATTTCGGGAGTATGTGTGTTCACTAAAAATGATTGTAATTGACCCCTCCACCGAAAATAATTTTCTCAGAACGATTTGAAATTTTTTAATTTTGCCGACTTTGTCCACATACTCGAATTTTTTTCTCGAAAGTGTGTAGGATTTCAGGGGTATGTCTATTGACCAAAAATGATTGTAATTGCCCACTGCAACCGGAAATAATTTTTTCAGAATAATTTGAAATTTTTTAATTTCGTTGAATTTGACCACCTATTCGAATTTTGTTCTCGAAAGTGCGTAGGATTTCGGGGGTATGTCTATTCACCAAAAATGATTGTAATTGACCCCCGCAAACGAAAATAATTTTTCCGTGAATGATTTGAAATTTTTTAATAACTTTTTAACGAAGCCTCAAACAACAAATTCATATTCCTGATTTTCGTCTTACTATACTTACGTATACTATATTGCTATAATATGTAGTCTTATACCATATATTATAAAATGTATAAATACTGCTGCATTGCTATAGTAATGTAGTTTTATACCATATGGACTCTAGTCTGCTATAACTAGTACTATACAATACTAACTTCAATTCTATAGCATACTGTCTACTCTGCTATATAACAATCTAATCCCAGTTATAGTCGAACACAGTAGCTATAAAGGATAAAAATAGAGCAATATCCGTAACGCTATCGTATGTAGCCCTTCATTTAGAGGTTGTAAACTGTATTTCTATAAAATATCGAAACTATAACGGTGCTTCCTCCAAACTATAGCAAAGGGTGCATAATATGCTATAACATGACTCTAGTATACCTAGTACTATAATATGCTATATAACATATATCTATTCCAAGTTATAGTGAAACACAGAAGCTATAAAGTTAAAAAATAGAGCAACTATTATGCATAGCTTTTCATCTACAGATCGTGAACTATCTTGCTATAAAATATTGAAACTATAACGGAGCTTCCTTTGAACGAAATCGAAGCGTTCATAATATATTATAATATGATTTTATTTTGCTATAAACTAGTACTATAACATGCTGTATAACAATCTATTCCAAATTATAGTGGAACACAGAAGCTATAAATTATAAAAATAGAGCAACTATCATGCATAACCCTTTATCTGTAGATCGTGAACTATTTTGCTATAAAATATCGAAACTATAACGGAGCTTCCTTTGAACGAAATCGAAGCGTTCATAATATATTATAATATGATTTTATTTTGCTATAAACTAGTACTATAACATGCTGTATAACAATCTATTCCAAGTTATAGTGGAACACAGTAGCTATAAATTATAAAAATAGAGCAACTATTATACATAGCCCTTCATCTACAGATCGTGAACTATTTTGCTATAAAATATCGAAACTATAACGGAGCTTCCTTTGAACGAAATCGAAGCGTTCATAATATATTATAATATGATTTTATTTTGCTATAAACTAGTACTATAACATGCTGTATAACAATCTATTCCAAGTTATAGTGGAACACAGTAGCTATAAAGTATAAAAATAGAGCAACTATTATACATAGCCCTTCATCTACAGATCGTGAACTATTTTGCTATAAAATATCGAAACTATAACGGAGCTTCCTTTGAACGAAATCGAAGCGTTCATAATATATTATAATATGATTTTATTTTGCTATAAACTAGTACTATAACATGTTGTATAACTATCTATTAACCCTTTGCACACCTATGTGGAGTGTGACTCGACATCAATTTTTATCTCATGAGCTCCCTTGTCGAGTCCCACTCGACGTTTTTTCAAGTCCAAACCAAGGAGATATCATACACTTGAAAATTAAAAAATACAACAATAATGTAAATAAAACAGATATTTAATTGAATTTGTTTGTTCCTCCGTTTAAATTTGCCCTACTTTTTAGCTAACGTAAATTTTAAATAAAAGACTTAAAAGCGTTGGAAGCTGCTGGTAACAAAATTCAAATATAATTCGGAGTGCAAAGGGTTAAAAGTTATAGCGGAATACATTAGCTGTAAAGGATAAAATTAGAGCAACTATCATACGTAGCCCTTCATTTAGAGGTCGTGAACTGTTTTGTTATAAAATATCGAATCTATAACGGAGCTTCCTACGAACGGAAGCGAAGCGTACGGGTATCGCAAGTGCCCCGAGAATTATTCGAACGCGTTAGAAATGGAAATTCGACATCGAGCCAGGATTAGAGGGTATCGGGCGAGCGTCGGCAGATCGATAGCTCGAAGGGTGGCTGCGGGGGTGTTTCGTGCGATCGGCTCGTAGAGCTCGTGTGAATTCGATCTATTTTCGTCGAGCAGCCTGGCACCTACGGCAGACGGAATAGTTTCGTCCGATACAACGCCGCGGAAATCCGATATCAGCCTCCGTTCGTTCTTGTTCCTAGATGCAAAATCCAGTCCCACGTCCTTCCGAAGGAATTCCAGTCTGTAATAAATTCTGATATTCACCGAACAATTCTCAAAGTCAACATCGTATCTTCGTTCAAATTTTAATCGAATCAAAAGAATTCTCGACTCACGATGTAGAGCGTGTTTGCAAACCTCGGAAAGTGAAATTTCGTTTATGGAAAAATAACAGTCGCTCCCAGGGAAAGTTGCGGAACGCTAATGGATTTCGCGTTGCAGAAAAAAAAAAACGAAGCTGCGTCAGGCGATTAGAATCCCTGGTATTCGAAGCATCGCGATAGATCGGTATTGTGGTAAATAATATTAGTTGCATTCCGTGGATGCAAACGCGAATAGCTATCGCTCTCCGTGCACTTTCTCCCGCGGTTGCCAGAGCGAAACCGGACGGTTTCATGCTTTTTCTAGACGCTGCCTCATCATATTTTTAATTACGCCGTCACACGCGCCGCTCGGATTTATTAATCGCCGCGTTCTCGCGAACCTTTGCCAGTCGATCCAAGTTCCAACCGCTGTTCTTCTCGACGCGAGTCGTGGGATCCCCCCGAAAAGCGCGGTGAACTTTGCGTGATTTTCGGTGTCCGAGAGTAGCTCAAATATTATGACAGGACGTTGAACGGTCCCGCCCACCTATCAGTCATCCGGGTAGACGCACACGCGTGGATCCTCCGGATCGACGCAACGGGCCCCAATAAAATATGTATCGGTTCAAACTGCCGGGCGTCGATTTATCGGTCGCGCGCGTGTCACATTTCGTCCGGTACTGTAATTTTCTTCGCGTCGTCGGTGTAACTGGCTTCCTTCGTCGTGTCCCCGCGCGTTCTTTTTATCCCTCCGGCTACGTTTCTCTCTCGTGTTTTAATAATGGACTGGCCGACCGAAAGTTTGTCCCCGATCGCACGAAACGACCGCGCCGGACAATCGATTACTTCGCTCAGGTTCGGTAATTGGTATCGAAGTGAGGCGTGGCAGGAAATTCGTATTCGACCCTATTTTCCTTCCCGCCGTCAAACTGTTTTTGATTGGTCATACGACGACACCGATTTCTTTTTCAGAGGTTTTCTCGCGAAATAATTCATTTCTCCTGTCTTTCGTATTTGCTCTACTATAAAGTCTGTACAATAAAGGTAGTATAATAATCACTAGACTGAAGATCTTTATGCAAATTGGAGCTTTGTAGAGGGTTGTCTCGAAACCTAAATAGAAGAATTTCTTATATTTTTGCATATTAACACTAGATTTACGGAGCGTGTCAATTTGATGCATTCATATTCTAAACCTAACATTACAGAACTCATAAATATTTTTTCAATCAATTTATATTGAATTTAATTAATGTAAGGATGTTAATATGTACCCTAATTTTTAAAAAACTCCATTTTAATGTAACTGTGAACACAACGAGAGTGTGTAAACCTAATGTTAAGTGCATTCTGTAATTTTTTGGAATGAAAGTTTCCCATAAATGCATAAACATCCTCAGTCTAGTAATTAGAAGCAATCACACCCTTCCACGTGGCCACAAACGTCCAGAGACAAAGAAACGAGAAGCGCCACCGTTTAAATCCGTTCGATTAACCGACCCTCGACCCCCGAGTGTCTTTCACGAGGCCAGCTAGGGGTGAAACAGCGTGAACAGCCCCCCTCCAACCCCCGGGGGCCGAAAAAGGAGGGTCCCACGTGCGTTTCGCACAATATGTCGCGTTTTTACGGGGCGATCATGGGAGCGAATCGGGTCACAGATGCGTCGAAAGGAGAGAAAGAGAATCGCCGATACGATCTACGAAAACAATGGTCAGCACCGCCAGGTACGCGACCCCTCCTCCCCCCCTGCCTATTTCCAAAATAATAAAGTCCGCGGCGCATGTAACGTGAAAACGCACATTGTGTCGACGTGTCTCTTCCACGGAAATTCCAGTCGGAGCGTTATTATTAACGTGCGCTGTACGACCGTGCGCTCGAAAGAACCCTGATGGGCCAGATAGCAAGGGTTGAAAACCCCCCCCTCTCCACTCTGACCCCCTCCGACGCTGGCAACCGGCCGACGCCATCTTTGATTCGCCGCGAAGATAGGCAGGAGGGAACAGCTGGGAACTTTTCGGGACTTTTTTTCCTTTCCGTCGGTTCTCGGTTGTTTCTTCGTTCGCCACACGGGCGGACGGTTCTGTTTCGTTTTGGGGCACGCTCTGCCTCCCCCTGCTGGCGCTCACCCCCTTTCCGGACGATCTAATGGCGGCTCGCGTCGAAAACAGCGAATTTTCGATCCCTTTTATCATTCGTCGAAATACAGTGAAAATAGAAATTAATTCCGCCGCGTTAATGGAGGAACTGTGACGAATTGAAAAAATCTTTACAATGTTTGGAGTTTTATGAATGACCCCCTGAAGTATTGAAGTAAAATTCGCAAAAATGACGAAGTTGCAGAAGTTTTAGTAGATGTAAAAAATGTAATGCGTAAGGCTTGGAATTAACTTTACTTCGGGACATTTGTTTGAAACTCTTTTATTGTTTCTGCTCTGGTCAAGTTTTTATACGAATGGGAAGTGTTTGGATCGAGATAGCTGTGTGGACCAAGTGTATCTAGTCTAGTGCGATAATTTAAACGCGTTTTTCTCAAAATTAACTAAAACTTTGTGCAGTGATTCTTAATATTATTCTCTTTAGTTGTACGTACGGAATTTTCGATCAAACAATTAGTTCCTACGTGGAGTTAAAAATGCTAGACTGCACGGCGATCAACGCTGTCCACCCAAGGAGTAACATTTATTATTTCATCCAAAGTCGATAAAACGTAACGAAAAAGAAATATTTGTATCTTGAAATGTCAAAGAATATACAGGGTGTTCGGCCACCTCTAGCAAAGATTTTAATGAGCGATAGTAGAGGCCAAAATAAGACAAAAATCAAGAATACCAATTTGTTGATGGAAGCTTCGTTAAAAAGTTATTAACGTTTAAAGTGCCGCCCTTACTGAATTTTTTTCTCGAAAATGCGCAAGATTTCGGGGGCATGTCTATTCACCAAAAATGACTGTAATTGAACCCTACAACCGAAAATAATTTTTCCACAACGATTTGCAATTTTTTAATTTTCTCGAATAATTTCACACCTTCTCTATTTTTTTTCTCGAAAGTGGGCAGGATTTCGAGGGTATGTCTAATGACAAAAACTGATTGTAATTGACCTCCGCAACCGAAAATAATTTTTCCACAACGATTTGCAATTTTTTTTCTCCGTTGAAAAATTTAGGCACCTAATTGGATTTTCAGTAAGGAATTTTTTTCTCGAAAGTGCGTACGATTTTGGAGGTATGTGCAATGATAAAAAATGATTGTAATTGATCCCCGCAACCGAAAATAATTTTTTTAGAACGATTTGAAAAATTTTTTTTCGCCGAAAAATTTCAGCACCTACTCGATTTTTTTTCTCGAAAGTAGATAGGATTTCGGAGGTATGTGTACTCACCAAAAATGATTGTAGTTGACCCCCGCAACCGAAAATAATTTTTCCAGAACGATATGAAATTTTTGAATTTAATTGTTAATAACTTTTTAACGAAGCTTCCATCAACAAATTAGTATTCTTGATTTTCGTCTTATTTTGGCCTCTACTATCGCTCATTAAAATTTTTGCTATAGGTGGCCGAACACCCTGTATATAGAAAGTAGCAAAAAGTTTCATCGAACCCTTATGCCGTAAAAAAATTGTCAAATATCACTTTTCGTTTTACAATTTCACTCTCTCCCCTTAACGGGTGGAAGATAGGCAGGGAACAGCTGACTTTTTTCTTTTCTGTCGATTCTCGGTCGTTTCTTCGTTCCCCTGTTTCGTTTTGGGGCACGTTCTGCCGCCCCTGCTGGCATTCACCCCCTTTCGGGACGATCTAATGGCGGCTTACGTCGAAAATGTTCGTTTCGCGACTGTTTCCTTTACCGCTCGACGAGATTTGGTGAAAATAAAAATGAATTCCGCGTTTAAGGGGAGGAAATACGGGAGATCGAGGCGATAGAAACGGGAGGAAATCCCAGCCGGAGATCGAGGGATCGAAATTTTTGAGACGTCGTTGAATCCTCGAGGACGTCAGCTCGGGAAGATCGACGATCCTGGGCGAGGAAGAGGAAGCCGGTCGGAGGGACGAGGAGGCGGGGGCTAACCTTCTGCGTGGAATCGCTCGTTAACGGCTGTCCTACACGCTCTCCCTTTTCTTTTCTCGTCCTGGCGATCCTTATCGCGCGCCATGCCACGCCGTGCAATGCCGTGCTCGTCGGAGTTACGGTCCTCCGGGCGTTCCTGGACATTCCAGCGGCCACAGAAGCGCCAGCGACGCTCGCGGGACCCGTTAACCCCTTGGTGGAATTTTTCAGACCGAGGAATAGGCCCCCGGGCCCGTGGCCTCTCGACTTTTTTACGCGCCTGCGGTGGAATTCTGGTGCTACGACGTCGAGGAAATGGCGGATCGGGGATGCGTCGCACGTCCGTCGGCAGGATTTCGAAAAACGCGGCGTCGGAAACGAATTTTTCAACCTGGACCTCTCGTAAATTCAAACAAACGTCCTCGATATACAGGGTGGATCATTACGTATTGTGTTATTATTATAAAATATTTCAGATGAAGTTGAATGGTTTCGAGGGGGCCATATTCTGATACTAATTTTCTTGTAAGTGGATATGTAGAAGACATGTGAAGATCATTAACGATTTCGTAAATGGAATCATATATTTCTTATTGCAATAGATTCTCCTTAACATTCACAATAAAAAATCATTAGCTTAGGAGATATTTTAATGTTATTAGGAAATTATGACTGAGGAAAAGGTTTTATCGTGACGGCCATTTAAATCACATTGTCAGAATCGATAGATTTATGATTCACTCACCCTGTGTATACAGTCTCTCATATTGACCATGGTAGTCGGCGTACAACTTATTTTTCAATTAGAACTATTCTCAAATGTTTACATTTCATAACGCCGTTGTATAAAATCGTAGACAAAGCATTAAGCAAGAAGGCAAGCATTGTCGGTGCAGAAAGTGTCGTGTAATGTATATTAATTTATAATAATACAACATTATACCTACAAGAAAACTAGCATCGTCAGAATGTGCCCTTCTCGAAACCATTCAACTTCATCTGAAACATTCTTCGCTACGCGTAATAACAGTGACGTAATTCTAAATGGCAATATGCAGTGGCCCACAATGTACACTCACCAAAGAAAAATTGCACGAGACAGACAAATTCGAAAGATTGAATTGTAAGTTTGGAATTTCATTAATTCTCGATAGAAAATCGACGAGTATTTATAACCGTCCTAATTCGTTCCCTTGCCAGGAGCACTTGATATTCCCATAACGCGTGTGTTAGAATAATGGATAAGTATTCAAACCAGGAAACGATGGCAGACATGTATTTCATGCACGGACTATAATTAAGTGTACAGAGTGTACCGTAACACGTGGTCGATTCAGTGCGCAAAAACAATGAAAAGAGCTCGTAGAGG